TGGAAAACAAAAGGTGGTAAATGAAAGAAAGAGTCATGTAACAGTACATTGACAAGATAAGTGGAGTGATTTGTTTGGGGAGAGGTGGCATGCATGTGGGTAAGAGTGCCTACTGGAGTTTTGGACAGAGGAGACTCCAGGAGAGACAGAGAAATTGAAGTGAAGAAGAGATTGTGGATTTTTGATATAAGATTAAGATTAGGAGTAGAATGAGAGGCATGATTGAAGTCATAAAAAATAGGAATTAAATATAACTATAAAAAGGGTATCCATCCCCCATTCAAGGATGGATGGCAATTAAGTGATACAATGAGGGAAGGTTAGGGGTTCACACCAAATGATTTTTCTTCTTGGTAAATTATGAGAAAAACTCATTTACAGGCAGAGATCCCGAAATAAATCAGATTGCTTCACCTCAACAGGTTCACAAACTGCGATGAGTATAAACAAGATTTTTCAAGACTGGGACCAATAAAGATAACTGCTGTTTCTAAGATGTTGGGAACTTTTAAAGTAATTAATGAATTTTATGGTTTCCGTAGAGGACAGTCACTTGCCTGGCTATCTTCCATATATATTATTGAAAACTTCTCCCTTCCTTGTAGACTACCAAGTAAACACTTCAATGAAACCCTCTAATGGAATCCAATCTGGCTTGTCTCAAGTTCATTTGAAGTGGATCAGATACAACCTGTAGGGGGCAGGATAGGCTCAGCCCCGCTGAGAAATTCTTCAGAAAATATTCTTCATAAATAATTAAGATATAAACTTATCAAACCTAACTAAGCGTAACATTATTTTGCGATATGCTACCTTAGAAACAGGAAGAATATATCATTCCCCATTAAATGTAATTCATGCTTTTTCTTTTCTAAAGGATAAGATTAGGTACATTTCAATAGCTTATGTTAAACAAAACAAATAAGTGAATGTGTTGACTATTTTATGAAATATATATTTTGTAATATTTAGATAAAAGTAAGTGAACGAATGGAGTCTAGCAAAATTAAGTCCATTTTTAATTACTTCATTAAGGAGTCATACCTGAGCAATGCTTTAATGAGGTGGTAATGAGGTAAAAATGTGCTGCTAGAATAGGCATTGGAGAAAACCTGGAAAAGGCAGCTCAATAGAGTGATGAGGGGGAGAAATGCTTATTTCTTTGTCTTGGCTTATACCCCTTTATTTTAGACTTATTCTTTAAGTCTTAGAGGTTTCTATGGAAAGATAGTGATAAAAGAGCCTAGAGAGTCAGGGGGAATCAGGAGGGTGGGAGAAAGGGGAAGGGAAAGAAAGAAAAGGGTGGATATATTTAAACTTAAAATGTGTATAAAATAGCACTTCCCACTTCTATAAGGTTTACGAGAATTGTATTAGTTCATATAATGCGGACACGTGGCATATAGTAGACAGTAATGTGTGACAGAATTATTTTTGTTTACTGATGATAGGAAAGCAGATTAAGTTTCTTGTTCAACTAGCCTTTGTGAAAATGTGGATGGGAATTTAATTGAAGATAAGGATGAGTCACACGTACTTTCTCATCCAGTCTCCTTTGTTCAGCTTTGCAAGGAAAGTAGCCAAGGATAGAGGGCATAGCTAAGCCTTGAAATGTGTTTCCCTGGGGGAATCTTTCAGTGTTAATAATTTTCAGTCTCATGCATCAATTAACTATGCCAAATAAATGACTAATTAAATACAACTACTATCTTTAAAAAAAAAAAAAAGTATACTTTTTCACCAATAGTATCAGGTCTATCATTTCTAAATTCCCATTAATAGCGTAGTTTTGATAAAACTTCCTCAAGAACTTTTCAAATTCTCTACTCAGCAAAATAAAGTTTTCTTTTAAAAATAAATTCTAGCAAATCTAGCAATTCTAGCACATTTCACTTTCATGCTCTAACATATACAAGGCTATAATTTTTTGTATTTTTAGGTTCCCTACATTATTGCAATGGTAGAAAACTCCACTAGTAAGATGCCTTATGTGGAAAGTATTAAATGGTATATAGAATCTGACCCAATTTTTCTGACTCTTTTATATAAATACTACAGAGCCTCTTATATACAAGTTTAAATTAGCAAAAATAAAAGCGATCACATGAAGAAGTTTGCAATTATGGTTTTTAAATAGAATAGAAATACATTTTTTATAGAATGAAAATATAATAAATGCATCTTTATAGAGTACTTATTTCCTTAACATATTATATATCTAGAAAAATCTCCCCAAATAGTGATTAGTAAATTTCATATATTTTCACAGTTCTTTCAAAAGTTGCATATATAAACCTTTAATGAACTTAATGATTGTTTGTAACCATTTGCTACCCTTACAGGTAATTACATAATGAAAGCATAAATCACTACTAGGAGAAACCCCATTCATAAACAATCAACATACGTTAAACCCAGAGCACTTTGTAAAGTATATGATTGCCTAATCACTATATTGTACACCTGAAACTTATAAAATATTATGTCAACTGTAACTAAAAAATAAATTTAAAAAAATAAATAAAAAATAAAGTGAACAAAATCTAAAGAAGTCTAATAGCAAAACAGCATCATGTGAGAGTATATAAAACAACTGGTAACAATGAAACAACTCTTGATGGATGAGGAAAAAGGCACTGCTAAATTGGAACAAACAAAAGCCATGTTAGATTTTTTCTTGGATGAAGAAACTTTTGGTTTTGTAGGACAGTAAATGTTGACAGACCTGTGAAGGAAATGGGCTCCGTGTGGGGTCAGAGGTGGTGACATAAGCGGCCTGTGTGTAGGCATAGCTCTTGAACCGAGGCTTAGGTGAGGAAGGAGTTCGTTCATAGCCCTGTGCTAGACTGACCGTAATCTGCAAAAAAGAGTTGGGGGAGGGGGACAGAGAGGAGGAGGAAACATGAGTAATCCTGGAAGGACTACTTTTCAATACATTAGAAAAATGAACATTAAATGGAAACAGTGAGATGAAAAGTTTAACTGTAAAAACAAATAAACTGCTGTTAGAAATGAGTACACTCCAAGACCTGTGGTGCTTAATATCACGTTGGAGAGCAGGTCATCAGGGAAGATATAAGGGTAGGATTTAACCATAAAAATTTCATACTGACACAACTCCAGCACTAATATGGGATGGTGCTCTTCAATCTGGCAAAAATAGGCATCCAAAAGCAATTTTCTATGAACCCAAAGTAAACAAAACCAGAATTCATCAGGTCGATACCCTGGAAAGGACTGAAGTTTTCATAAACTAAATATAGAACTAGCTCAGTAGAGTGAGAAAATTAGACCTAAGCACTTTCCACACCTTCAACAGAAATTTAGCTAAAGGCTTCTTCATCATTGCTTGTGTCAAAAAAAATACAAGAAAATACCCCAAATAGCCATTACTGGGAGCAAGAAAAAGCCATGTAATGAAAGAAATTCCACAGGATTCTATACGATGTAATAAAAATTTTTATCATATGTAGTATCCATTTAATTTTGATTTAAAATATTTAAACTACTTTTATTTTAGCAAAAAAAACGTTACCTCGAATAATCAAAATTTGTTAATATACCAGTGGGCTGCCACTAAAAATAAGAAAATATTATTAAACAGTACTTGCCTTCTCTCTGACTCTAATGCTTTTCTCTTTGCTCTAGTTGATGGAAAGTTTAATGTGTATATGAGCTTATCTTTTATTTCATTTTACATAATGAAAATAAAATATATTCTGTGTTCCATATTGCTATAATAAGGTGTCGATCAATAACAGAGTATTTTAACAATGTCCTTTGAAATCAATATTATAGTCCGTGATATCAGATAAAACTTTAAAGGTTTACAGTCAGTCTCTCTCTCTTTATAAAAACAAACAAACAAACAAACAAACAAAAAACAATGAGTCTCTAAAATATGTATATACACACACACATTCACAGGTACATTATGCTACATATATAGATAAAATATTTGTGTGTATGCACACATACTTTGTTACATATACTTATATGTATGTATATATCCATAGATATAATAGTTTTATATATATATGTATGAGTATAATACCTAAAAATGCATCTAAAATAGAAAATAATTTTGATATTAGTTGTACTTTCAGCACTGTACCTGTTGAGAATAGTGCATTTGATGATGTAATTGAAAATGTTCTTCTCTAGTAACGCTAGATGGCCGTGGCAACATTTCCACTTCCTGGATGGCTTCAATGCTCACTTGTTGAGGCAAAACTTGAAAGAGGGACGTGATGTACATTAAGATGGACTTCTTATCTGGATAAGTGGTGGCAACATCTGTAAGTACATTAACACCACACATCAGTTTTGGGTTTCTATATTTGAGTCTCTAAAAGGAGAATGAACAAATCAATGTTACAGGAAGAAGACAAATTAATGAGCACTCGATTGTCCATGAATATCCTCCAGAGACCAATTAGGACATGATAATCAGGCCTAAAATGCCCTTCCAATTTGGCAGACCAATGAGATGAGCATTAAAGTTAATTTCTTTTCCTTGTTCACATAAAAACTTCATCCCGTAATACTTTTTTCTAAGTCAAATTGCCAAACTAGCCCATCTAAGAGAGTGGTTCTCTTTAGATAAGAAACAAAGATAAAAGATAACATCTTCTTGTCCACTTAAAATTCTATTAGCATGTCAATTAAAACGGTGCATTGGCAATTAAACAATTACACAAAAGAGTTTAATGCCTTGGCTTCCAGTAAAGAAAGCTTGTGCCTCCTAATCAAATTTTTGCTGGCAATTAAGTATATAAAGAGCAAAATATGTCTTTTTGTTGAAATGAATCATGTATTTTCACAATAAAAATAGAATAAAATTATATATCTATACTGTATATATAAAGATTTATAATATTCCTTAAGTATATTAAAAATATTTGTTTACATTATGGTGCATCTATTAAAGTCAAATGTTGGTTCCCTTTTCAGATTTTAGAGATAAATTTAAAAGTCCTTCACATAGAATTGATCAGACCTTACATTCTTTGCCACATCCAGAGAATGAAAGAAACTCAGCATTTAAAGACAAAAATAATTTGTAATAACACATAATAAGTGGCAGCTCCTTCTAAAGGTTCTTTGGCTAGTTGGCATTACAATTTACACACTAGGCTCATTCCAGGCAACCAAGACATAAAAATAACCCTTTATGTGAAGTATATCATCAATCCTAGAATGTAAGTCCTGGTAGGAAGCCAAGGCAACTTTGCAGCAATGTGCCAGGCATTTTTTCTTGCCATAAATTTATCTTAGCTAGTATTAAAAGATCTGTTTTAAATTAAATATCTATATGCTAGACAGGTGTTCTGATTATGAGTAAAAAAATCTCAAGTCCACCAGCATAAAGAAAGGTTGAACAGATCACTTCGTCCATCCCTTCACAAGTATCAGGAACATGATTAATCAGAACAACTATTTTTAAAGTATTTTTAAAAGAGTTACAGAGGAGAGAAAAGTTAACTAATGTTCCTTGGTCTGCTTCTATCCATAGTATAATACAGTACTTCTCAATTTTTAATGTGCATATGAATCACCTGGGAACTTTTTTTAAAACCAGAATCTGATTCAGTAGGTCAGGAGTGGAGCCTGAGGCTCTACATTTCCAGCAAGCCTCGAGCTGATGCTGAAGCTGCTGCTGGCTTTGAGTAACAAGGGTCAAAAAACTTACACTGACGCAGACCACTATACCATCTACTCTTTCACCATTTCACTCATTTTTTTTTTCAAAAGATACTTATTGGACACTTAAATGAATAAGGGTGAGAGGTACAAAGTTATACAATACGTATTCTCTGTTCCTTATTATAATTTAATTATTAACCAACAGATGAGGAAGGTAATTTTTGCAACTATTTTTCAAGGAAAAACTGAAGAATATTTTGTGCATGACTACTGTCTGTCTAAAAAATCTGACTATCTTAGCTTTAAAATTCTGAAGCCTAAAATCTCCCTTTCATGTGATAATTTTTTTCATGTGTTCATTGTATGATGGATACTGCACTTCATCATATTTTAAAACTAGATGTTTTCTTCCTTCTCATTAGTCACTTATCCGTGATGAGTGTAATTTATAATTCTGTTTATTTTTTAGTGTATTAAATAAAACCATGCTGTGAGAAAGGCATTGCATTAAATAAGGTTTGTAAATGACTATTTACTGCTGTATTATATATACACATGTGCAGGTATACGTTTGGCTTCAAATATATGCCAAAAAATGTGATAAAAAGAAAAACAAAGGTAAAAATAAATCAAGCATTATTTCTATTGTCTCAAGCAAATGTCTATAAAATTATAATACATTTTAACTACATAAAACATTTTGTGAATGAAAGCAAATATTAATATCGATAATTACCATAAATATGCTATTTGGCCAAATTATTGACATTTTTGCCTCAATCTATTACAATCCCTCCTCTGAGGTTGTACAAGATTCAGCTGCGCCAGTAGGTAAAATCTAATATTTCTTTTTTTAAAGAAAGGGATTTAGATATTCTAAAATATGTAGAATTCCTTGAATATATATTTACTAAAGACTTAAAATACTTTAATAGATTATCCAGGAGATTAACAAGATAGAGAATTTGTAGATTCTGCTCACAATCTGGACTAATAAAATAAATAAAGAAAAAGAAAAGTATAAAATAATTCATTGCTGAACAGAATGTAAAATTTGTTCCTTGAATGGGCACAACCAGTGGAAGAAATTATTATTGAGGGACTAGAAAATTCTTTACGAATAGGAAACTGAAATAAATATGTATAGGATTTCATTAGCTGGGAATGGGAAAATAGGGAAAATAGGGAAAAAGTATGAGCCAAAGAGCAGAGGTAGGGACAGATTAGACATGTCCTGGGAGTAGTGGCTCTGAGTCTCTGAGCCACAAGAGGAGGATAGCGAATAAAAAGATAACATGGGTAGATTGTGAGTGGAACGTTTAGAGATCATTGACAACAAACTAACAGATCTGGCCTTAGTTCAATAGGTCAGAGAGCAATTAATTACATTTGAGGAAGAGTGTGACACCATTAAAATTTTTGTAAAGTAAAACCATTAAGTGCAGAGGATTCACAGACTAAAAAAAACTGGAGGGATGTGGGAAGCTATGACCCAATCTACACACAGAACTTAAATAGGTTACATAATGAAAACAAGGGGCTACATGATAGGAATGCTGAGAGGTCCAAAATGACTTCATTCGATTTTTGGATCACTTACTCCACAGTGTTTGGAAATGCCTACATACAAAATTTTGTCCTAATCTCTGAGGATACAAAGATTAATAAACTGAGAATAAAATGAAGGAGATGGATGGAGGGAAGAAACTGTTTGTTCCATAGCCAAGGTAACAAGTAGCCACCAATACACTTTTCAGTCTCATTTAAATCAATTAACGATTACCTGCCTACATGGTCTTGATCAAGCTTCCCCAACTGGTAACACCTCGATTCTGAAAAGTCTGTCAATCAGGAGTGAATTCACTTCACCAAACAAAATTCTGAATGCAAACCAATTAACAGTAGTCTCACCTGAGTAATCAACCACGCTTCTAAAAGTGACATCAACCTATAATTCTGAATGTTCACAGATCTCTTGACTTCAAACCTAAAAACACTCTAATTTGAGAGACTGTGGTTGACCAGCATAATTCCCTCTTATTTAAGCAATAAACTCAGCTTTGTGTTTTCATTTCAAATATTGAGTAATAGTTACATCATTTGATAAAATTCAAGTGCTCAATTTCACTTGTAAATTTAAACTTTTTAATGGGAATGTATTAGATGAGAGTGTGATGTAGTGAAAGAACAAGCAATTCTCAATTTGAAGATTTGGATTTTTAAAAATCTGTACCTAAATATTTATATATGTAAAGAAATATCCTTAATATAATTTACTTCTCTTTCCTCACTTATGAAATAAAAATCTGCATCCCAATCTCACCATGGTGTTACGAAGTCCAAATGCAATGCTTACAAAAGAATAAGTTTTATTAAACCTTGTGTTGTTGCTACGGTGCAATCGTTGTTCTTTGTGTTATTAATACAAACATACCTAGTTATAGAAGACCATTATACTATTAACAGGAAGCAGAAGCAACAATGGATTAGAAAGAAAGGCCATTCACCATTTATTACATATTTACAAAGCCATTATTGTGTGTCAGAGAATATGCTTAGCCTATGTTATATTATGAATATTCAGTGGATGAGACACCTAACAAATAATTATAAACTGTACACTGTACTAGAGATCAAGGATGTTTCATGACTTAGGGGTTATCCTCACTTATTGATAAATACAACAAGGCAAATGACTGAGACTCCCGTGAGTACCTAAATATTTGTTAAGAAACTGAATAGAGTAATTGAGACCACAGAATTTGATGAGAATTGTGTAAGACAACAAATGACTGAAAAAAATGTTGTAGACAATGAGTAGCATAGCATTTGAGGAGAGCGAGAATGATCCAATGTGATTTACACTTTTTAATTACAAGATATTAAAATGTATGAAGTGAAAGAAGTGGCTGTACCGCCAAAATAAGAACTTACAATTATATGAAAGTAATTTTTGCACTAAAACATTGCTATACATTGGGTTCGTTGCCATAAAGTTTTAAATTAATAATTTCTAATCTAATATTTGAAGCCATCTCAGAATGAAATGTTGAGAACTCATAATACTGCTAGAATATTTTATTTTATGAACAATAACACTAATTTTGAAGAGTGTTTCTATACTAATCAGAATTTTGACAGTAAGGGCTATAATGGAACAAATAAATCATTTAGTGAAATTTCATTATCTTTCAAATGAGGAAACTGTAGTCCACTGTGGTTTGACGGCCATTTCAAAAGCTAGGCTAAATGAGAATTAGAGCCCAGTCAGTGTATTCTACTTTTCAGTACCTTAACTTCCTTCTTTCAGAGAATGCTATCTTAGTGAATTAGAAAACTGAGTTATGTCAAAGTCATTATCTAAATAATCACCTTGTGATCCATGTGGTTCCATTACCAAACATTATTTATATTCTTTATACTTGTAGTGATTTCTATTTCTAATAAGTGAGGTATAATAAGAGTAAATACACATAAAAATGCAACTTCAGTAGTAATCAAAGAAATACAGATTAAATAAAGATGTGAGTTTTTAATTATATCCCATTGCCTACCAAATTATCAAAGAATGACAAAAGGATAACAATCAATGCTGCAGAGGCTTCAATGATTTGGCCAAACTCCTACTTTGCCGGAAGAGTATGAGCTAA